TCGAGATAACTTGGTGACGACTCAACCTGCGTTTAATGAAGGTAAGGAAAAAACCGATCGGGCCGCCGTATGCAAACGGTCGAGCAATCACCGATCGTATATACATTAAACCTTCCCGCTCGCAGGCGATTGAAAAATTATTTACAACGATAAATTTTAATATAAACGACGACCGAGACCAACTCGCAGGTCGAGCCCCCCACTTCGTCTAAAATTACAAAAAATAGGCTAATGCCTAAACATAACGAGGTGCTCGGAATTCCAAGTCCCCTCGATTACCCAACCGGTTGTTGTCTCCAGTCGGTATGTCCCCGACCGTATGACAGCGCTGATGATGTACGGCCCTTCCCAATTCTGAGCTAGCTTCCCGCCTTCCAAAGGTTGACTGACCTCCCGTCGTTGTAAAACGTAATCTCTCGCTGAGCAGCTAGCTCCCTCTTTTCCTCGACCCCATCGAAATCCACGACCATCGAATGTTCATTCTCCTCCGCATTTTAAGTTCGCTCTCGGTCGGTCGGGATCCAAGCCTCGATCGGGAGTCGGGCTTCTGCTCCGTAGACAAGGGCGAAAGGGGTCTCCAAAGTAGCCTCCCTCGGGGTCGTCCGATAAGTCCACAAAACATATGGCAACTCATCGGCCCAACTACGACCAGCCGAGTGTAGCTTCTTTTTAAGACCTTCTAAAATCATCCGATTGGCATTCTCTACCTACCCATTTCCCTACGGGTAAGCCACCGACGACCGGACGTGAGTCGTCCCGATCGTGGCCAAGAAGTTCTGGAAATACTGGCTTACGAATTGGCGGCTGTTGTCGCTGATGCGATGCATGGGCACACCAAAGCGGGAAATAACATTGCGCCATAAGAACCGAGCACACTGCTGAGAAGTGATCATGGCTAACGGCTCGGCTTCAATCCATTTGGAAAAGTAATCAATGGCGACAATTACAAACTTCCTCCGACCGGAGAGTTGAGGGAAGGGTCCCAAAATGTCCACCCCCCACCTAGCGAAGGGAATTGCAGTTGTGACCGGTTGATAGAAAGTGGCCGGTCGTCCAGGCATCCGGGCAAACAATTAGCACGTCTCACATTCCCGAGCTAGCTTCTCACAGTCTAGCTGGAGGGACGGCCAATAATACCCGATCAGCATGATTCGACGAGCTAAGGATCGGCCTCCTTGATGTGAAGAACAAATGCCCGAGTGCAATTCCTTCATGACCAAATCAGCCTCAAATGCGGTCAAACAACGCATAAGAGGGCCTCCATACGACCGCCTGTAAAGACGATCGTCTAAAACTTAGAACCTCGGGGCTCTAAGCTTTGCCTTCCGAGCACGTTTAGGGTCATCTGGGAGTCGACCGTGCTCAAGGAAGTCCTTCAGATCGGTGATCCAATTATCTTTTACCGGTTGGATTGGATTAACCGGCACACGGTGGATGCTGTGCCTCGGGATCACCAGAATCCGAGCGATCTTCGACATATGTTTCGGGGCGTCTTGAGCCAATTTGGACAAGATGTCCGCATCGGCATTATCCAACCGAGGTATGTGCCGGACGGTATACCCCCGGAACTGGGTGAGCTTCTCCATGGCCAGGTCTCGGTATAGCTGTAATCGTTCTCCGTTCACTTCGTAATCCCCGAGAACCTGCCCGACCACGAGCGCGGAATCCGTCTGAGCTCGAATGTATTCAGCCCCCAAGTCCCGAGCACACTGCAAGCCGTTAACAAAGGCTTCGTACTCGGCTTCATTGTTGCTCGGATGGAACTGATACATAAGGGCAAAGTAGACCTTGAATCCTTCCGGGCTCGTGACAACCACTCCTCCTCCTGCCCCTTTCTTGCTACTCGACTCATCAGTAGCCAGCGACCACCACTCAGCCTCGGGATCCGCAACCTCAGGGGGTCGGGTATCCCGGGCGGTGCACTCGACCAAGAAATCTGCAAGGGCTTGACCTTTGATGGCTGGTCTTGGTCGGTATTCGATCGCGTACTGGGTCAGCATTAACGCCCACTTGACTATGCGACCGGATGATGAATCAGTTCGGAGGATTGGCCCGATCGGCTGATCGGTCAAAACGCGAATTGCTCGACCTTGGAAATAGGGAGCCAACTTCTTCGCGGCAATGTACAAGGCATAGACGACCTTCTCTAATCGGGAGTACCGGAGCTCGGGACCATGTAGCGTGTGGCTTACATAGTACACCGGTCGCTGGACCCCTTCTGGATCGGTTCGGCACAATACTGCGCTTACTGCACGATCGGACACGGCGAGGTACAGGTCTAGCTCTTCCCCGAGCTCAGGCTTCGACAGGACTATTGGTGACATAAGATACTCCTTCAGCTCGTCGAAAGCCGCTCGGCATTCGTCGTCCCAGACGAACCCATTGACTTTACGCAATACCTTGAAGAAAGGTAGAGCGCGCTCGGCTAACTTGGAGAGGAACAGGCTGAGGGCTGCCAACCGACTGGTCAATTGCTGGACTTCCCGAACGGTTGAAGGTGGTTGCATGTCCAGAATCGTTTTAACTTTGGCCGGGTTGGGCTCGATTCCCCTCTTAGTCATCATATAGCCGAGGAACTTCTCGGTCTGAACCGCAAATGTGCACTTGGTCGGGTTCAGCCGCAACTGGTACTTCCTCATGATCTGGAAGCACTCCCGGAGATCCCGAGTGTGGTCGGATCGGTCCCGAATCTTGACCAGCATGTCATCAATGTACGCCTCCATCGTTCGGCCTAGCAGATCGGCGAATAGCATATTGACCATCCTCTGGTAGGTCGCTCCTGCGTTGCGGAGGCCGAACGGCATCACTCGGTAGCAATACGGCCCGTCTGGGTTCACGAAGGCTGTTTTGCTCTCATCTTCATGGTGCATAATTATTTGATGATATCCCTTGAATGCATCCATGAAGCTCATCAACTCGGCCCCTGTCCTCTCGTCGACCATCTGGTGGATACTCGGTAAGGGGTATGGGTCGAGCGGACAAGCCTTATTGAGGTCGGTGAAGTCAATGCACATCCTCCAAGTTGGGGACTTCGGAACAAGGACAATGTTGGCCACCCAATCGGGATAAATTACCGGCCGGATGTGCTCGATCTCCGCCATCTTCTTGACCTCTTCTCTGACAAATTCGCGGCGATTGGAAGAAAGGTGCCGGGTCTTTTGCACGACCGGCTTTGCTGCGGGATCGACTGCTAACTTGTGACAGATGACCGTTCGGTCGATCCCAGGCATATCTTCGGGCCCCCATGCAAAGATGTCAGCAAACTCTCGGAGTATTACCAAAACTTCCGCTCGGAGCTCGGGGGTGAGGGCCCGACCAATCTTGATCTTCCTGTCCGGTCGGTTTTCGGACAGGGGAACTTCCTCTATTTCCTCGGAAGGCTCGGGTTGTTCCTTCCGGTCTTTGGAATCCTCTTTGGCAATCGTGTTCACCCGGGAAGACTGACCGGAGTCACGTCTATTGACCGCTCGGGTATAACACTTCTGGGCGGATTGGACATCGCCACGGACCACACCGACCCCGTTGGGGGTGGGGAATTTCATGCACAGGTGAGGCATTGAAATTATCCCACCAATCTTCATGATTGCAGGTCGGCCCAAGATGATGTTGTGGACACAGTGGAGGTTGACCACAACGAACTCCAGCTCCGTCTTGATCGACTTCGGGGAGGTGCCGATCTCTACTGGGAGCGTTATTTTTCCCTCGGGGTAAATAAGAGCCCCGGTAAATCCCGACCGTGGTACACCGACCGGAGTCAGCTCCTTCCTGTCGAGCCCAAGCTTCTCAAACATGTCCAAGTAAAGGACGTTGACACTGCTCCCAGTGTCCACCATAACCATCTGGACATCCGTCCCTTTAACATCAATCGTGACCACGAGTGCCTCCATGCCGTGGTCACCGCTGCTAGGTTGATCTTCGAGGGTGAAGGTTATGGGTTCCATCTTCTGCCTCTTCCCGGTGTCCCGGGAATCCACTATTGCGACCGGGCAATTATCCCTCGGTCGGGAAGCATCCTCCAATCCACAAAATATTACGTGGATGGTCGGCTTTCCTGCCGGTCGGCTGCTAGATGGAGGTCAGGGTCCCGTCGGTCATCTCGACGATCGTCTCTTTGGTCCTGACCTGACCGATCGGAGCGTCCATCACGATCAGAACGATCGGAACGGTGATGGGAGCGCTGGTGGTCTCTCCGATCGGTATTCTTCATTGTGTCTTCTCTCTTCCCCACACACTTGTCCAACTTCCCACGGCTGAGAAGATCTTCCAAAAGTTGGCGCAAGTGGGTACACTCCTTAGTGTCATGCCCTGCACACCAATGATAAGGACAATGCTTGCTCGTGTCGGGGCCATCTGAATCGGGATGGGGGAGTTTGATGAGATTGCAGGACTGGGCGTACTGCATGGCCTCCACTGCGGAACGGTTCAAGGCCGTAAACTCACCAGGCCTGGTGCAGGATCGGGGATGGTCATCACCCGATCGGTGTTCCGCCCGGCCGGCCGGTTTACGGGACGAAGACCCGACCTCCTTCGAGCGTTTAACGGAGTTCGCCTCACCGGCGTTGGCATAGTCTGTGACCCTTCGGAGGGCCTCTTCATACGTGGCCGGGGGGTGTAGAATGAAATCCTGGTACAAATAACCCGCCCGGAGAGAAATGTGGAGCATGTGGGTGGCGGTTGCGTCGTCCATAGGTTCGACTTCCCCGACCGCTGCCTTCCACTTGTTAAGGAAATCGGTCAAGCTCTCCCCTTTGAGCTGCTTGGCCTTCTCCAAGTACATGTAGGACTTTCTCACCACCTTGGAGGTGATGAATTTCCTCACGAACTTGTTCGCCAGGGAATTAAAATCTGCAATTGAACCCGGCTGCAAAGTTCGGAACCACTCCGCCGCCCGACCGGTGAGCGTAGAGTAAAAAGCCCTACACATCACGGCGTCTGATACGCCCTTCAACATCATGTTGCCGTAAAAATCATTGACGTGGACCTCAGGGTCCGTACGGCCATCATAGCTTTTCTCCCCGGAGACCTTCAAGTAAAGCAGGTATGGCTGAGCCATTACCTCCACAGTGAAGGGCGTTCTCAGCAAAGATGATTGGTCGACCGGGGGTGTCGCAGGGTGCTCGTTTCTGAACCGAGCGAACTCCGCCTGGAGGTTGTAAAGCAATCCTCGGGTTTCGTTGAGCTCGGCCATCTGGGCGGCTTGGGCTGATTCCCGAGCGCGTCGCCGACGGTGAGATCTCGATCCGCTATGCCCGGATGAAGCCTCCTGGCGAGCCTCCTGCATCTGTACGTCTTCCGGCTGCCGGTTCGGGTCTTGGGGTCCCAAACGTTGTCGCATCGCCGGTCGAAGGCGGTCAAAAGCTACCGCCCGGGCAACTTCTTCGGGGTCCTCTGCTCGGGCTGGAACCTCCGGTGCTTGCTGGGCCTGCCGTGGTGCCTCCATCGCATCAGCACCCCCCGACCCCAACCGCGAACGAGCCGAGCGTCGAGCCCGGGAAGTGGGCTGATGCTACGGCTCTACCTTTGCGGTCGGGTAGACTGGAGGGGCGGCGGCTGGAGCCGTGTACGCAGGCGTAAAGGGTGGATAGCCAACCGGTGGTGTGTAGTACATCGGTTGACCGGGCCAGTACCCGTACGGTTGAGGAGGGATCGGGTATGGATATTGGCCAGGATATGGCATCTGCTGCTGTTGGTACTGCTGACCGGGTGTTAGGTATCCCGGTTGGATGTAGTTCACCGGCTGTTGGGCGGCCGGGTATGTGGATGGATGAGGTGGTGAGAGATTAAGATTTAGGTCCATTGTCTGACCTTGCTGCTGTGTTGCCTGATGGTCGGATGAGCTTGCTGCATCCGCCTGATCGTCGGCGAAGTTGTTGTATGCCCACGGATACATGATTGCCAAGAGACCGGGTGCTCGTCACGACGGTAGCTTTCTTGCACGGGTCCCCACGGACGGCGCCAAAATGATAGTGCTAATTGCCACGTAATGCGGTAATTAAATAACACAAGACCAATTAAAGCAAGTAAATAACTTTTATTGATCACTGTGAAGGCCCTAAGTACAATCTACTTGGTTGCTCTGAGTACCGACTGGCTGCGGTCGGGATTCTCTAACAACAACCTATCGATCGTCCAAAAGTCCCCCACACTGTTGCTATCGCGGGTATTTATAGCCGCGGAGCCGGAGACACAAATCCGGTCGTCCGGCATGCTTCCCACGTAGCAACCACGTGTCGCCGTCCCGGGTGCCCTACCTGTCAATGCGTAGATCTGCCACCTGTCCCTCGTTAGCTCTCACGCCAAAGGGCTACCGCTCGGTGATCGACACTGCCGCTAGGGCAACTCCCGGTCGGACCCCGACCGGGTTCTTCATAAGAAACCCGACCTGTAACCTGCACAGACAAGAAGAAAAGGACGAAGGCACACCGGTCGGGGTATTCCCTACCAAGTATATTTGTTATTTCGACTCTAACTATCGTGTAATCTATAAAAAACATGCTATTATAATTTATAATGTATTTTGTATTTTAACCTTATTATGGTTATTTGATATTTTGCAATTGACATTTCTAGCGTCGTTTAAACTTCGGCAAATAATTTTCTAGCCGCGTCCAGGAAGATAATGACGTAATTACCATTTACATATTATTATCAGCATAAAAGCATATCAGTCCTTTAGATGTTCTACTTGAGTTATTTTTGTTTCAACTATTATTGTTGAATGAGTTGTTGTGAATAGAGAAATTCCTAGTTTATTTAAGGAATAATATTAGATAAGGTAGTAAAATTTTATACATTTTAAATCATCATAAGAAAGAAATATGATTTACTTTTAAAGCGAACAACTGTGATTTACTTCAATTTCTTGGATTATTTGAATACCCTCTTTGTCAACAAATCCTCCCTAAATAGTTAATATGATTGGCTTCAAACTATTTTTTTCCCATGGTATTAATAAAATACTTGGTAAATAAATATATAATATTATTTTGTATTATAACTTTGATATTTAATTACAAGATACTGTAAAAAGAAACAATCGATAATGTAGTGAATATAATTAATTAATGAATTTGAAGTTAAGGAATCTTTGCGTTGTAGAAAATAAAGACAATTTAACTAATGAAATTATATCTCTTCTTTACTTTTTTGGTAATGAATAATTTTTTATTTTTGAATAAATGCATTATAGACATCTAATTCTAAATTATAGAAATGTATATGAACAAATTGCACTTTTGGTCCTGTGAGTATTAGGGTATTGGCAATTTGAGTACATGACTTTCAAAACTCCCAATTTAAACCTTTAACTATGCATTTTTTGGCAGATTTGGTCCTCCGGACCAAATTGCCGGCCAATTTTGGCCGGAAAATGATTTAATGGTTCAAATTATTTTGTGATGAGGGTAAAAACGTCATTTCACTCCCTTCTTCTTCATTCTCCCTTTCTTCTTCGTTCTCCCTTTCTTCTTCGTTCTTCTTCTTCTTCTTCTTCATCCTTAACCTTCACAAGCAACCCACCCTTCATCCTAAGAGTCAAAGACAACACAAAATCAGGAACCTTTCCCTTCTCCTCCGACAACACTTCAATCTCAAACCTCTCCAGAATCGAAGCCGCAATGGATTTCATCTGAATGTACGCCATTTCTTTCCCCAGACACATTCTCGGCCCGCCGTGGAACACCGGAAACCGGAACGGACTTTCCTGCCTGTACTCCCCATTCTCGTCCAACCACCTCTCCGGCTTGTACTCGCAGCAATCTTTCCCCCAAATCTTCTCCATTCTCCCCATGGCGTACGTGTGATACGTCGCGAACCACCCTTTTCCGATGAACGTGCCGTCCGGGATGACGTCATCTTTCAGGCAGGCCTTCGTGTCCACCGGCACTGGCGGGTACAGCCTCATTGCCTCCGAGATCGCCGCCTGCAGATACTGCATCTCTCGCCGTCTTTTTTGATGTCTTTTAGGATGTTTTGTTCCACGTCCGGCCATGATGATAGTAGCCAGAAGAACCATGTTAGTGCCGACGATGACCGGAGATTGATCGCTCTGGTGCCCAAGCACGAGGACTACACCAGCGAGGAGGACGAGGCGCCGGCCGGTGATCGAACAATTAAAAGACGTAGAACTTTCTTCTTCGGCCGGTGATCGAACAACTTTCTTCGTTCTTCTTCTTCTTCACCGCATTATGGCCAAATGATCGAACAATTAAAAGACGACAAGTATTGCATTTCAATACGATCAATTGGGTAGTTGAATGCGTTGATTCCATTTGGCCATTAATATGATTCCATTTGGCCATAATGCGGTGAAGAAGAAGAAGAACGAAGAAGAAAGGGAGAATGAAGAAGAAGGGAGTGAAATGACGTTTTTACCCTCATCACAAAATAATTCGAACCATTAAATCATTTTCCGGCCAAAATTGGTCGGCAATTTGGTCCGGAGGACCAAATCTGCCAAAAAATGCATAGTTAAAGGTTTAAATTGGGAGTTTTGAAAGTCACGTACTCAAATTGCCAGTACCCTAATACTCACAGGACCAAAAGTGCAATTTGTTCAATGTATATGTATTATTTTATGTTGTAGCAACTATTTTATTTTATTTAATAAGAGTAATAGAGTAAGGTACTAAATTTTCATCCACAACAATGAAGTCATTGATTTTTTTATTTCCATCTGTTGTTGAGACAAATTGTTTTGTGAGTTTATCAATGACAATTGCTACAATTGTTGTCAATAGAAGATGAAGATAAATAATTCAAAATATATGACTACAATAGATATTGTTATAATGATATAGTAAAAATTAACTTTCAAATTTCTTTAGAACTTTTCATGCATTCATAAAATTATGAGAATGATATGTTAACTTGTTCAATTGGAGCGAGTGAGGTGTCAGCATTGTTAGTTCTTTGGACAATGGTCCTACCATTTAGAGTCCAGGTGTAGTTGTATTTCTGATCAACAACTTTGTAGTTAGCTCGCACTGGTCTGACAATGATGTAAAAACAATTTTGTCTGATAAAAATAATAATGAGTTAATGCCGCATGAAGTCCTCCGAGTATAGTGGTCTTGCCACGTTAAGTCCTAAACTTTCAAATTGACCATCTGTGGTCATTCGACTTTCAAATTTAGCCATTCGTGGTCCGAGTTAACCACCCATGGTCCTTCAACTTTCAAAATTTAACCAGCCGTGGTCCTCTTGAAAGGACCATGGTTGGTTAAAATTTAATAGTTGAAGGACCATGGGTGGTTAACTTGGACCACGAATTGTTAAATTTGAAAATCGAAGGACCACGGATGGTTAATTTGAAAGTTTAGGACGAAACGTGGCAAAACCACTATACTCGGAGGACCTTAGATGGTATTAACTCAAATAATAATATATAGTTGTACAATTGTACCATTATATAAATATAGACAAAAAATATTAATAAAATAATCACCTAAAACATGCTCAATAATGACAAAGCATAATTGAAAAACAAAAACTTAACCTAAATTTATTTTTTTTTTAAATGCAAGAAAATTATTTTCAATGTTCCTTATTTGTAATCTTTGATGCTCAAATTTCAATGCTATGTATTTAGTTGGGCTAATTAATTGACTAAAATTTATGTTAAACTTTATATTGTATATATATATATATATATATATATATATATATATATATATATATATATATATATATATATATACTAATAAGAGTCAAAGTGAGTTAGGCCTATAATGGGTACCTATAATGGATAGAAAAAATGACGGTCAAATTTTTTAATCAAATGAATGGCTCAGATTGATCAGATTTTAATTTTTCCTTGAGATTTTCTAATTTATCCTTAATTATATGATTCTCCATTAACTTTTCCGTTAAATATTATCTTCTCTGTTAAATTCTGTTAGTTCACCGTTAACTTACTCATTGATTTCAATAAGAAAGGTCTTAGGTTCGAACCCCATCCCAATCAAAGTTGGCATAATTAGTACTCTATTTTACTCTTATTAAATTAAAATAATAATTTAGTAGCTACAACAAAAAATAATAAATATGCATTTCTTTAATTTAGAATTATGTGTCTACAATGCCTTTATTCAAAAAAATTATTCATTATCAATAAATTAAATAAGTGAAATAATTTCATTAGTTATATTGTCTTTATTTTTCTCCAATATAAAAATTCTTTACATTCAAATTCATCAATTGATTATATTCGCTACATTGTCCCTACAATGTCTTTATTCAAAAAAAATGTATTCATTATCAATAAATTAATTAAGAGAAATAATTTCATTAATTATATTGTCTTTATTTTTCTCTAATGTAAAAATTCTTTACATTCAAATTCATCAATTGATTATATTCACTACGTTATCTATTATCTTCTTTGTGCACTATTTTTTAATTAAATATCAAAGTTATAATACAAAATAATGCTATATATTTATTTACCAAGTATTTTATTAATACCATGAAAAAATTTAAAAAATATAATTAAGCCAATCATGTTAACTACTTGAGAGATTTATTGACAAAGAGAGTATTCAAATCATACAACAAATTGAAGTGAAAAACTCTCTCGCAATGTCCTTGTTTAGCAATCAGCAGCTAGCGGTTAGCGTTAGCAGATTATATTAGCAGATTTGACAAGCGAATTATATCAACGGTTGGTAAAAAAATATTTGAAAAAATTAGCTGTTTATATTAACATGTAAAATGACCTAAGGTGTACATATATTTCATAATAATAACAATAACAACAACAACAATAACAATAATAATAATAGTAATAATAATAATAATAATAATAATAATAATAATAATAATAATAATAATAATAATAATAATAATAATAATTGTTTTAAAAATAAAAATAATAATAATGGTAATTTAATAAAAAAAATAAAATTTAAAAAAATAAAAAAATAAAACATATGGGTAGCCGAACGTTCGGCTCCCCTTAGTTTTGCTACTTTTTCCACATCGGTGGGAAAAGTGGCATGGGAGCCTATAGGAGCCTCAAGGCTCCAATTTAAAAATAAGCTTGCCCATCCGTTGATGGGCAAGCAGTGAGTCAGCGAAACTGGCTCTTGTTATTCAAGGAGTCGAAATGGCTCTACAATTTTAACTTTTTTTTTTTTTAAATAGAGGTTTTTTGGAAAACGCTAAGTGAAAGTATTGTAAATTGCAGTTTTTGTATTTTTAGTGGTTTGAAACAAATTGTTGCCCCAAACTATTGAATAACCAAACACTTTCTTTAACATTTTGATCTTTGGGTTACATCATATTTACCAACGGTCATCTTTGGGTTATATTATATTTAAAATTTTTAAATTTTTACTACTTCATCTAAATAACCAAACACATATCTTTTTATTCTACGGAGCTTAGAATTACTAACGGTGATGTGTACTTTTTTTTGAATGATACTGACTCTATTACAATGTAGTATCTGTTCATAACTACTTTCTCAACCTACTAAAGTACAAAGAGCCAATAACACATCCACTAAGGCTCGAACTCACAACCTCCCATATGAGAGTCCAACCCGGGTAACAAATCTGACAATTTTCCCCATTTCTCTTACTATGGATTTGCTCTTTTTTGTTGGCTTATCGGGCAACTAGAGAAGCAAAAGAATAGTTCTGCGAGACTGAGATTCCCCACGCTTCTTATAAGAAGAACCAATTAGGTTAATTTCAACCGGGTAAAATTTATTTATAATTCTTCGCAAAAGGTTGAATCTCCAACCCCAAGGGCCCGACAAAGCATCTGGAAGATGCACAAGGAGCCCCCCTCACGCGTTTGGAAAAAGATAGACCTTTGCTTACTACACACAAGGAGCCCACCTCACTTTAAGAGGTTACTCCCACACTGTCGCTGATGAGGCTTGATCCCTAATTATTCTTCCCAAACTTCACCCCTATGAGCAATTGAACTACCCATGCAGTTAATTTCAACCAGGTAAATTTTATTTATTATTACTCTTGTTCTTGGAAGACAAAACAATAATTATATAAAAAGAAGTGTCTATGTACTAACATTATTAATATGAAAAAAATACTTCAATTCAAAATAAGTTAATCGCTTCTTACTTATTAAACAAATTTAAACCATAACTCATCTAAGAAAATTAAATAAAAATGTTATGGCTACTTTTTTGAAAGTTTCTAAGACCCAGATTTTGGAAAATACCTGGGTTTGTCATCTGTTATTGGTTGGAATAAGGTGTTGGTTTTCTCTTATGTAGAGCAGAAATTGAGGCAAAGAATTGGTTCTTGGAATAAGAAATTTTTGACTCGTGCTAGTAAGGAAGTGTTGCTTAAATATGTGGCACAGGCAATGCTTACTTTAATTTTATTATGAGTGTGTTAGTGCTGACAATATTTTTCTTTGAGAAGTTGGAGAGGTGCATGAATAGGTTTTGGTGGCGTAATGGCAATGATGATCAGGGAATTCACTGGTTGAGTTGGGACAGATTAAGTACCTAAGAGTAAGAGGGGTCTGGGTTTTAAACAAATTCACCTTTTCAACTTGGCTCTTCTTTGGAAGCAGGTTTGGAGGTTGCTCAGAAATCCTAAAGCATTGGTGGCTCATGCATGTATTTCAGGCCAGATATTATCCTAAGACCTCTTTTTTGGAAGTCTCTATTGGCCATAGTCTTAGTTATTGCGGGAGAAGTATTTTGGCAGCACATGGTTTAATCAAATTTGGATCTAGGAGAAGGATTGAGAATGGTTTAACTATGGATGTTGAGTACGTGACCCCTGACTTATAAATGAGGACGATCCACGTGTTACAGATGGTAAGTATTGGGATAAGGAGGTCGTTAATGATCTCTTTAATAGTAGGGACTCTGATTTGACTGGTGGAAAGGAGGATGTGTCTTAGTTTGGTTCTATTATTCATGATTGTACGTAAAGCTATTGGTAGTTCTTTTTCGCTTTGTGTTTTTTTCAATACATTCTTAGATCAGCGAATCAGGCCACTCATGTCTTAGCTACGGGCGGTTGGCTCTAA